ATCAGCATCATCATTATCATCAGCGTCATCATCATCCTCATCCTCATCCTCATCATCATCATCATCAGCATCATCATCATCAACATCATCATCATACTCATCATCATCAGCAGCAGCATCAGCATCATCATCATGATCAACATCAGCATCGGCATTATCTTCAGCATCATCATAATGATTACCAGCATCATCATCATCGTCATCATCATCGTCATTATCATCGTAATCATGATCATCATCATCATCGTCATCATCATAATAATCATCATCAGCAGCATCATCGTCATCAGCATATTCATCATCAGCATCAGCATCATTATAATCATCATATTCATCATTATCGTAATCATCATCATCATCATCATTATCATCATCATCAGCAGCAGCAGCATCATCACCCGCATCAGCATCATCATCATCATCAGCAGCAGCATCATCATCCCCATCCCGATCCTCATCCTCATCATCATCCTCATCCTCCTCATCCTCCTCTTTTACGCTAGACCAACCTACGGTTTCCCTGTGGTGTTCATGATGTGCAACAAAAAACGTACGCGATTCGGCTCAGAAAAAAAGGACCTGGCGGGCGCCGCGGGCAACGTGGGCAAGCGAGGCCAGGAAAAGCATAGACAATTGAGTAGGCGCCCGCCAGGTCCGTGAAGACGGCACTATCCTTAGTAAGATAAGCGCAAGGAAGCCTTAGAGTAAAGAGCATAGAATAAGCCTGGTTGAGCATAGAATAAGCCCGATTGGTTCAGTTCGTAGCGCCGTCGTGGTTGGAAAAAAAGGGCAGCTGTCCTCCTCCTCCTCCTCCTCCTCCTCCTCCTCCTCCTCCTCCTCCTCCTCCTCCTCCTCCCCCCTCCCCCTCCCCCTCCCCTCCCCCTCCCCCTCCCCATCCTCCCCATCCTCCCCCCTCCTCCTCCTCCTCCTCCTCCTCCTCCTCCTCCTACTCCTCCCCATCCTCCCCCTCCTCCTCCTGAGTACTGGTGGATGACCAGCAGGCAAGCGAGCAGCATGCTGCGGCCGAAGCCGCCCTTGCAGTGCACCGCCACGGCGGGCGCGCGGCTCGCCGCAGCGGGCGGTGCCCTGGCCTCAGGCGCGAGGGCGTCCGCCACCTCGCGCAGGAAGGACAGGACGATCCGGTGGCAACTCACGGGAGCTGGACCCTTGGAAATGGGCACCAACACAAACACCAGGGGTTGCCTCCACGGGAGGAAGATAGATGATCCTGGATGTGGGTGTTGGTGGCAATCTTTCGGCCGCCTATGAAGCCCGAATCTTACCACCATCACCGAGATCGGGATCCTCTTCCCTCGGTGGAAACACACCGCTGATATTGGTCTTCGTGTCAATCTCTAAGCATCCGAGGGAGCCTCTCATGTCATCCAGCCACAGATCCGACGCTCCACATAAAAAGGATGGAGCGGCGGGTTTCGGGCCGCTTGCGACCTCGGGGGGCCCTCGCGGGGCCTCGGGACCGGCACAGAGCGACTCGGGACCAGAAACTGGCCCTAGGGAGATGGTCTGGACCTCCAGTGCCCATGCATCGAAGTAATTGGAGCGGCCAGATGTCTGGGTCCTTGGAAATAAGAGGGGGAGGGGGCCACAACCCTCCCGGACGAGCAGTCTTAGACCCCTTTTCCGAAAGGGCGGCCTTTTGCCCAGACCCCCCTGGAGCCCTCCAAGACAGCTCAAATCAGACCTCCCCACATCAGACCTCCTCCACTTGATTGCGGAATGGGGAGTGCCTTGCTGAAGGCGCCCCAGGACACATAAATAAATACACACAAATAAAAATATTCCCCATATTTTCCTATATTTTCTGGGTTTCTGTCTTCCCCCCCACTTCCCATATTTTCCCATATTTTCTGGGGAATCGAGGATTAATTGTGTCTGTGTGTTTTTTCTCTCCTGACTTGCTGGATCTTGCGAATCGACGCCGGCCGACGCCTGCCGGCGCGAGCCGACGCGAATCAATGCGGAGTCGGCGCTGTCTCATCAGTCACCGCGCGCACGCCAATGCACCCTAAAGACTAGGGAGCCCAACAAGGACGTACGCGCCCAGCTATGTACATGAACACGGTCCCTTGAAACGCGAGACCGGCCGCGTTATACGAACATTTGCGCAATGCGTACTCTCGAAAGCAGCGTGGATTCATGTACGTGTACGTCCTTTTGTCGCTCCTGAAAGACGGGATCACGAGGACATACCAAAGCTCCCATGACTTGCGACCGAAGGATGAGCTGGGGCGGAGGGATGGCGCCGTTGGTATCCTTGACGAAGCTGTCCAGGTGGCGGATGCCCTGCTCGGGGATCCACTGACCCGGGTCAATCCAAATCCGGGTCCGTCGGGCCTTGCAAGATCCTGCGAGATCCTGCGAGATCCTGCAAGATCTCGCAGAATCCTGCACCCAAGCCCGGATCAGAACAACCCTTGCCCCGCAAGATCCTGCAAGATCCGGCGCTCTGACTGACCCCCGTTTGCACCTGACCCCCGTCTCTTGAGCCCCGACCTGAGCCCTGATGTAGTGGAACAAAAAGCGACATAAACATAAAAACTCGGAGGTCCGCGCGGATTTCTCGGATCGGCACTGGGGCCCCCTGGCGGCGCCTCCAGCGCCGCCCCTGGCGCGCTCCGCGCGCCAGGGAGGGGGGTCCAGCGCCTATCCGAGAAATCCGCGCGGACCTCAGAGTTGTTATGTTTATGTCACTCTTTGTTCCCCTATGATGGCCGCTGGGTCGTAACTGCCCCCGATGCCGGCGAGGCCCTGCTCGTCGCCGGCGTTCGCGCGCACCACGAGGCCGACGCCGTGCTTGAGGAGCAGGCTGACGAAGTCGGGGGCCTCTGGGCGACAGGCCTCCTCGGGGCCGAGGTCGGCCGCGTGCTGGTAGTCCTCGACGACGACGACGACGACGACGACGACGACGACGACGACGACGACGACGGGTGGGAAGGGCGACGACATGACGACGAAGAGTCGGGCGTTGCTAGAAGGGGAGCTGGATCAAGGCGGTCCCCGGATTTCCCCAGGGAGTCCTTGCACACGCTGTGCAGGCTGGAGTTCCTGTCGTTCCTGTCCTCGACGTACTGCGGGAGCCCGGGGCTGCGCTCGTTCTTGCTCTCCGCAGCCTCTTCGGGGCTCATGCTCAGGCTCACGTGGCCTGTTACCTCGAGGTCGTCCAAAGAATCTGTCGAGCCTGGCGAGTCAGGCTGCAGATCATCTGCAGCGAGCGGCGGAATATCCTCTGCACCAGCAGCCCGTGGCCCGAAGCTCGAGCAAGTCGACGGGTTCGGGTCTGAGATGACGGTCATCGGGTCCGCCATCACCAGGATCGCGGCCGGGACCAGCCAGCTCGCGTCGTACTCCAGCGCCAGGCGCCGATACTGGCTGACGCCCAGGTCCACCAGCTGGGCCTCGAGGCCAGCACCTCCCGGGGTGGCCCCCTCCCACGCGCCGAGGCGGATCCAGCCTTGGCGGCCCGCAAGCTCCAGGCCGTCCCAGCAGTGCCTCACGCTCATTACTGGCGGCTGCGCCTTCTCTGGCCTCGGAGAACCCAAAGATACCGAGGGCTCCCGACTTCGCGCTTCGCGCTGCGCGAAGCGCGAAGTGCCAATAATTTCGCGCTCTCTCGCCGCCTCCCAGGGGAGAAGAGGAGGATGAGGAGGAATCGGAGCCGAACCGCGAAGCGCGAAGCGCGAATAACTTCGCGGCCTCGAGGGCGCGGATACCGATACCGCTACTCCCCAGACCTCTCCTGGGGAGCGTTCTGACCAGAGGTTCGACGCGAACTCAACGGTGGCGACGAGGGCGTCCGAGGAAACCCGACAAGGGGCAAACGGGGCGAGGGCAGCGTGAAGTCGGGCGTGTCACCCTACAGGCAGATCTTGGACGAAGAATCAGAAACCTGACCTGACAAGAACGGGAAGCGAATGTTGAACGTTCGTTGCAGGTGTGGCATCACATGGGGACGTCAAAACTGGAACGCTTGTGCGAACAGGAGGGGACTGCGCGGTGCCCGAGTCAAGGATCCCTCGAAAATATACGACGCTCGCGCTCCCAGGGCGCAGATCCCTCGTAAAGTACACGCGATACGCGCCTCCGAGGCCACGACCCATTGCAAAGTACTCTGGGTTCATGCCTCGGCGACCAAGACCCACAGAAGTGCAGCCATCTTCACGCCCTGGAACCGCTATTACTTGTATTGTGCGCAAGCGGTCAATTACCACGCGGCCCCCGCGTCCACCTTCAAGATCCTGAGCTGTCCGCCGTCCCCTTGGGGTGCGGTCCAGCTGGCTTGCAGGGGGGGGGATCTGGTTGAACGGACTAGATCCCTCACCACTCCCAGGAATGCCCAGGATGCCTCCGGCCGTCTCCGGCCACTCCAAAATGCTCCAAGACGGCCCATTATATTCCCTACCTAGGCTCTGCCTAGAAGGGTTCTTACTCGGCATGCTTAAAGGGCCGGGCAGTGGACCTCGCCCCGGGCGGTTCCCCCAGGATCCGCCCCGCGGTTCCCCCAGTCCCCTGGGAGCTTTAGCTTTAGCTCTAGCTTTAGTCTTAGCTTTAGCTTTAGCTTAGCTTTAGCTTTAGCTTTAGCTTAGCTTTAGCTTAGCTTTAGCTTAGCTTTAGCTTAGCTGTAGCTTAGCTTTAGCTTAGCTGTAGCTTAGCTTTAACTTAGCTTAGCTTTATATGTATATTTAGCTTAGCTGTAACTTACCTTTAGCTTAGATTTAGCTTAGCTGTAGCTTAGATTTAGCTTAATTTTAGCTTAGCTTCAGCTTAGTTTCAGCTTAGCTTCAGCTTAGCTTCAGCTTAGCTTCAGCTTAGCTTTAGCTTAGCTTTAGCTTAGCTTTAGCTTAGCTTTAGCTTAGCTTTAGCTTAGCGTTAGCTTAGCTTTAGCTTAGCTTAGCTTTAGCTTAGCTTTAGCTTAATGTTAGTTTTGATTTAGCTTAGCTTTAGCTTAGCTTTAGCTTAGCTTTAGCTTAGCTTTAGCTTAGCTTGACTGTTACTACTAATGCTGCTTTCCTAGGGGCTCCAACTCCTAGGTAGGGTCGCACTGGGATAATTTTGAATACGACCGGCGATAACCCCAAGACGATCCAAGAGGCCTGTAACATGAAGCCCTCTTGGATCCCTCTGGCGCCGTTTTCAGGCCCTCTTGAGCTGTCTTGGGGCTGTGTAACCCGAATTCGGGATAAGGAGACGGAACATCTAGTGACCCTCGGTCCATCCCGCCACCGTGCCGGGGTATTGAGAATGAGACGAAGTGAACGTTCGTTGGGCTCTCTTGGGAGGCTTCTCGCGGGCCGTTTCGGGTCCTCTTGGGGCCTCTTTTGGGCCTCTTGGGCGCCTTTTGGGGCGTTTGGGGGGCCTCTCGGGGGCCTCTTGGGACCTCTTGGGCGCCTCCTGGGGCCTCCTAGGGCCGTCTTTGGGCGGGATGCTCCGATTTTCGATTCGGGCTCACCCTCTTGGGCCCCTCTTGGGGCCCTCGTGGGCCTTCTTGGGAGCCTCTTGGGCCGTCTTGGCGCCCTTTTCGGCCGTCTTGGGCGCCTCTTGAGAGTCTCTTGGGCCGTCGCGGGTCGGTCTTGGGGGACTCTTGGACCGTCTTGGACCCCTCTTGGGAATATCGTGGGCCTCCGGGGCCGATGTTCGAAGGATGTCTCGAGCGAAACGGGCTTTTTTGAAACCTGACCTGACAAGAACGGGAAGCGAATTTTCGAACGCTCCGTGCAGGTGGAGTCACGCATGGGGGCGTCAGAAATGGAACGCTTGTGCGAACAATGCGGCGGCATCCAGTGTTGAGGTACGCAAGCAGTCATAAGAGCAACCAAAATCAGAATGTCGCGGGCGCGGAGGCCAGAAAGAGCGCAGTCGGAATGATGACGACGTCGACGAGGAGCAGAAGATGTGCGATGGGTATGATTGAGGTGAGGTCGATAAGAAGTGCGTGCTAGTGCATCGAGTCGAGGAAAAAGACGAGGGCTGACAGCAAATTGGGAGATGAGGGCGATGCACGTTGCGCGAGCGTGATCCAATGAGCTCGACGCTGCACGGCGGGCGTTCCGCGGCGCGGCTCTGACGTGCCACGAAACTCTGTGAACGAGCACTCGTCGGACGGGCGTTTCCTGTAACGGTTCCGGTGGCCCGGGAAGGGTCTGGGCCCCTGGGCCCATAGCAAGGGCGCTGTTTTCTGGTGGGATATCAAGCAGTTCGAAAGGGCTCCGCATGGAAGGCGTTATTTTTATCGGGAAGATGTCCAGATATCGTTGGGCGCGCCTTGGGCTATGCAGGGGCGTCTTCGACAGCGTTTGCACTGCACGTTGCACTGGTGCTGTGGAAACCTTCGGGGGTTCTGTCCTAGTCCCGTCAGGGTTCTTTCGGGGTTCCTGTAAGAGCTGCTTTTGAAGGCCCTGGGGTCCTCGTTTGGTCCGTCGCGGAGCCGTCTTGTGAGCGTTTTGGGCCGGTTTTGGCAAGTTCCCAAAAGTTTCCTCCGTCGTAGATATGACTCTCGGCCTAGTGGAGGCGTCGCCACGAGGTAAAGGTAGCCCAGGGCAGGGTCCACTCAAAGTTCTAAGGTCGGCCTTCCTCAGGCTTACCAAAAGCTCGTTTTCAGGGTCAATTTCGGGTTGCTTTTCCGTTCTTCCACTAGTGCTGCTCTAGGTGTAATTCCCAGGCGCTTCCCGATGGCTAACATAGGTTGTCCTCTGAATGGTAGTGGTAATCCGAGGGTTCGCCCAGGCGCGCCCGAAAGCTTTTCCCGGAGGTCTACGCCATGCACTTCCTGAAGCTATCCTTGAAGCTTTCCGTAGCCTTACCCCGTAATTGCGCCGTCAGGGCTGCCCTGGCTCTACGGATGGACTTTTCCTCCCAGCTGACCCCACGCGCATTGGTGAGCTCCTCCCGCGCGCTAACCTGAGCGTCCCCATAATCCGGTGCGTTGTGCCTACCGTAGCCTTACTTCGAAGCTTCCCCCGAAAGCGTCCTCTATTCTTATCCTGAAGCTCGTCTCCTGGCCTTGCGCTTTCCGTGAGCTTATCAGATGGCGGTCGTCGTGGGCATGCCCCGCGGTTCTTTTCTCAGGTGCGCGTTGGAGGCACACTCCTGGCTTGCCTCCCAAGTCTTCTCCAGCCCTGCTCTCAGAGCGGAAAGGACCGCCGAGGGTGGAGAGAAAGGTCGCAGAGGCAGATTGCTTACTGAATGGCGATGACATCTGCGCCCGCCCCCACAATCATAGTCTCGGCCAACGCAAGCTGTCCCAACGCTCGATGAATCTCAACGATGCGCTCGCGAGCGATGAGTTTCTTCTTTTCCTAGCCGTGCCAGGCGGGGGTGAAGATTTCGATCACGTTGCATTTGGCATGCTCGCACAGGAGGCTAGAATAGTGCGAGCGTCAAAAAATCTTTGCTGTCGGCGCCGGGCCCTGGAGAGCACTCACTCCGGGTGAGGCTCGTCGCCTAAATGGTGGGCGAGGCGCTTCCGCTCAGGCGAGAGGAACGTGCGAATCGCGTCCTGGAAGGCGGTGCGTCGTCGCGCTTGCGTTTGAGGCTCGCCGCAGGCTCTTTCATCGAGTCCCACGCGGCGGTGAGCTCTCGTGGCACTGCCCCCACTCCGGGTAGCTCTGAGCGTCGTGCATCTGCCACACATCAAACAGCACGAGCTCGCGGTTGGCCTTGTCAACGTGGGTAACGTGGACTAACGCCACGCGCTTGCGGGCGATGGAGAACTGAGGCAAGCGGGCCACAACCGACGTCGTGGAAGCCGCCCATTTGGTTTCCTTGTCGGGCCTCAGCACGTCCGTGATGACGTTCTTGATGGCGGAGCCGTTATCGATGTTGCCCACCTGCGGCTGCTGCGCTCCGCGCACGAGAACGAGGGCTCCAGCGGCGAGGACCGGGGCTTCGGTGCAATCGGACGTGGTCTCGAGGCGGCCCGACGGGGACTGACTGAGCCACGGCAACATCGCGGGCGGGAGCCCATCCTCGCTGGGGGCTCGTGGGGGAGGGTCACCGCGGTCGCACCGGCGCGTTTCGCCGCCGACGATGATGAGCGTGGGCGTCTTGGGGTCTGTGGATGACTCTGACGGGGACGCCTTGGACGCAGCGAACCCCATGCGCAGGCGCGCTCGCTGGAACTGAATGGCGTCGTTGGCCACCGCGGAGAGGAACCCTGCCTTGTCTTCCGACTCCGACAAAATGAGGGCTGTAGATTCTGGGAGATACGCATCCAGAGAACCGGACGCGCCCGACACTGATACTCTTGCGAACACGCGGTCTGTGCCCTGCGCGCACAACCGCTCCGGGCTTGCGTTTACCAAGGCTAAGGTGCACGAGGGGATCTCAAAGAGCGTTTCCGGCAAGATCTTGTGGAAGCTGGTCAAGAACTCCAACGAGGACGCGTTCATGAACACGGCGGGCCCCTTCGTATAGTCAGCGGCTGGAGCGCCGGTGCTCAACGGCTTCGCTTCTAGGGAGGTCATGTCCAAAGCCTGCAGCGCGCTTGCACCTGGGAGAGCACCAG